TAAGTGTTTGGTGAATTGTTTGCTTGCCTGGAATTCAATTCTGACATATGTGAGCAACTGTTTGGTCAAATCTAATTTTAGATGGCAAAACTCAACAATAGTAAAATTGGTCTTAGATAGTCTGACGGAGGAAGGAGAGGGTGGGAGGAGAAGGTGGAGGCGGCGGCGGTTTTGACCTGTGATCTGACTCGACGAGGGAGGCGGCGGCGGTTTTGACCTGTGATCTGACTCGACGAGGGAGGCGGCAGATTGATTCAGTCGAAGTGGTTGTCAGAGGTGCTGGGTGGTAGGAGCACCAGCCGACAGCGCTGGTGAACGACGATGGGGCCTCCTGACGAGGACGATGAGGTTGGTGGCCTCCTCGCCACCACTGGTGGACGCCGGTGAGGCCAGTCTTCCCTCCATGTGCAGATACTCCCTCGCTCCCCTCGGCGTTGTCTCCCTTACCCTATCTCTCTTCCTGAACCTCTCTCAATTGTACACAAAGAGAGCCGTGGTGGCAGCACAACAAAGTACAAAATTGGAGGCTAAATGTAGGCAGGTTTGTCCAATTCTCAGACTAGATTTAATGAATGAAGCTGCAGTTGATTACTTATCTGGGCACTATCAAATAGAATACGATGTGATGAATGAAATCTCTTTGCTGATAAGCTAATTACACTGGTTAGTTATTACACGTTAGGCTCAGGCTCGCTTCTCTCAGTTTCCTTGTGTTTCTTTTCTTCATAAAAATTCAGTATTGGATTGAACATGCCTGCAAAGATTGTTGTATTTACCAATGCATGAAAATTTGGCGGAGATCAATTATCACTGTGTTTGAGCAAAAGAAGTTTCAGTCCTTCCACCGAATACATGTAGTTGTTAACAGGTAGCATGGCAGCCATGCAAAATTAGTCCGGGACTTCAAATTCTGCAAGAAAGGTGAAAGATTTATTTTGAGTGATTGAGACATGCAATTAGAGACAAAAAGATCATATATTATACTGCACATACCAATACTTCATATTCCTGTATTGAGTATGATGGTATAACACCATGTAGTACAAGTAGGAAAGTGGTTGGGGCGTATACTGCTTTTCTTCCAGTATTGAGTACCAAACATATTAGATGCATGCTAGCCTAATTTTGTACATTTTGCGAATCTAGAACCTCACATTTCTTTGTCACTGTACTGGAACTATACAAGGCTTCAACAGTCAGTGTATCAGAACATGAATTAATCCTAGACAGCATATGCTATTGGTCTGGCAGCTTATTCTCAAGTTATGTCTAATTCTGTGCTTTGATAATTTCAGATGGACTATGTCCTTAAGTTTCCCTTTTATACCATGCTGGAAACGTCTAGACCACAAGAGGAATGTCCAACATTTTGATGCTATAGGTTCTCACATCCTGAAGACAAAATACTTGTAAGATTCTTATTGCTGCAAAAAGAGTTGTACTTCAAATCATTTTAATTAGATATCATACTAAAATTTCAAAAAAATTACTGAATCGAGCCAGTAAGTACACTTCCATACAATCATCGATTATGCTCCAATGTACATACTTATGGTTTATTATTTATGAAGAATCAATGTGCTTTTTAGGTCAAAAACATTATTCCCGAGGACTCCTTCACAACCTCAAAACAACCACCAAACACTGGTACATCTCTTACCAATTTCATCAAGTACATTTCTTCACACACTGCTCTGAAAGCTTACGTTCTAATTTTTTCTCTGTTATCTTCCTTTTTTAGGGTAGCTCAAGATTAGAAAAGGAGTGCATTGTAGGAGCGAGGAGCAACTACACAGCAATTAGTTTTTAAATGGACAAATATTATGTATTTTGTAAAGGATTTGGCTTCATACGAAAACTTAATTCTGGTTGTATGATCTTTTCTTAATTATTTGCATCTTTCATATGAATATTTGATTTGATTCAATTCTGAACTCAAGGTGTTTGTTCGTAAATGAAATTGTGCGAATGAGATGCTTGTGATACAATTGGTGATATGGGAAGATCCCTTTATATAATATTTGTTGCCTATGAATGTGAATTGTGATATGAGTGGATGCCTTTACATGACAATATATGTTGATCATTATACACAAGCATGTGTTGTGATGAAGTAACTGGATTTGAAATGATGAAATACACATTGAAAATAAATCAAATAACTTTTAAAGTTAAGTATATTTAGAGATGAATATAACATCTCTACATAGCGTGTATATGAAAGGAGTTAGTGCCCATGATGAATGAACCGGCTCTATGAGTAGAGACGTGATAAACGCATCTAACAGAACGACTCTACACATCTAGATACGCTTTTGAACGTCCCAATATAGTGTCTCATATCTAGATACGCTTTTGAACGTCCCAATATAGCGTCTCATATCTATTGACGCTTTTGAACGTCCTAATATAGCGCCTCATATCTAGGGACGCTTTTGAACGTCCCAATATAGCGTCTCATGCCATGTACAGACGCTTAGCCAACGTGTCTACACGTTTTGAGACGGTCCGTGGGGAGACGCTCCAAAGACGCTTTACTAAGTCGACTCTATGGTTGCCTAGAGATGAAGTAACACGTCTCTAGCTGTTGAATATGACGTCTCTACAGACAGTTTTTCTTGTAGTGACAATTGTCCCTCTAAGCACGTATGCGATGAGATGTCACATTGCAAATGGATGTTTGGCGATTTTCATTTGCGTTATGGTGGACAGAGGATGTGGCCCCCTCATTGCTAGTGATAGGACCCCCTCATTGCTCACTTCGATAGCAGTTGTTTGTTGATCAGCTCACAACTGGAGTTGGCACAGAAGATCTCATTGCATGGGCAGGGAAACCTAGCCAATATCCCCCTAACGGTTGGGACAGTGTGGACGACAAACTTCGGCCTGGCCACCCCCTGTTATTTTCGCTAGCAAAGCCTGCATCAAGCATGCACTGATCCGGCACGATGTGGCCTTTTACATATGGAGCTTGAACAAGGTTTTAAATCTAAGTTTTAGAACTATTTTAGCCTTTGCCGAAATCACTAAATTTATGTGAATTTCATATTTCGGTTTCATTTTGGCGAAAAGACCAAAATTCCCATTTGAATTTGATTGAGACTGAACCAAAACATTCTAAAAAAAATCCAAAACTAATTAATAATGAAAGTAATATCTGCTGAAATTAATAAAATTTCATTGAAAGTGAGAACTATGCTATGCCCAATCATGCATGAGGTGGTACCATCGGCACATAAGATGTTGTCATTTTAGTGAGCATCATATTTACATTTGTAATTGAAAATATTCAGCACTTCCTTTGAAAAAAATGAAACAAGCCCTGGCGAGAAGAGCGCTCATTCCGATCCATATGCTAATCACTTGTGGCCCTGAAAAGCGTGGGACCCACATACCATATCTGTGCAAATGTCGGAAATGTGCAGAGTGTATTTCAGGTATTTCATTTGGGAAACGATTTACAAGTAATACAGCAATCGGAAGCACGAATCTTGAGAACTAAACGGATGGCCGAGGATCTGCCGGTATCTAGCATTACCGCTCAATTTTTCGTTTGACCAAACTTGGCTCATCAATGCACGTCTGGTCCAAATCCTCCAATAAGGAAGCAAGAAACGTATAGTCTCGAACATTATTGCAGCAGTTGCACCCAGTATAGACCCTATGGACTACGGGTAGAAGATGGTGATAGAGAGGGTCTTCTTACGGCATGCTTCAAACTCTGTTTATTCTTGGCATTTTTGCAACAGTGGCACCCGATATGTAGGCGGTGGGATCGACATGGACCGACTAGGGGGCATGATGGATGATCTTCAGGTGGTCGACCGTCGCCCGCTCGGTGCGCCTCCTAAGAGCATCTCCAACAGGCACCCAAAAAGAGCTCCGCGCGCTAAAAGTTTGTTTTTTTGGGCGCCGGTCAGCTCCAGCAAAAGCTGTAGCGCTAAAAGTTTTTGGGCGCGCGCTGAAAAACTCTATCGCGCGCAGCATATTTAGGGCGCCGGATTGCGTGCGCTTCACAATTTGCACTGTCTGTTTTTTGGGCGCGCGTTTTTGGGCACCTGCTAAAACAAAGTTGGTCCCGCGGCGCTTTAAAAGTGCGATGGTGGCGCGCTATAACGTTTATTGGGCGCGGATTTTTTGTGCGGCCGTTGGAGATGCTCCATCTCCAATAGGTGCACAAAAATTTCGCGCCCTAAAATAGTTTTAGCATGCCACTGTAGCAATTTTAGTGCACCGGACCCAACATTGCTTTAGCAGATGCCCAAAAACGCGCGCCCAAAAGAACAGGCAGTGTAAATTGTGAAGCACGCGCAATCCGGCGCCTCAAATTTGTAGCTTTTGATAGCGTTTTTCAGCGCGCCCAACTCTTTTTTGCGTGCCCACTATTTTACAGCTTCTGCTGGAGCTATCTGGTACATAAAAAACACGGATTTTAGCGTCTGGCCCAGTTTTTGGGCGCATGTTGAAGATGCTCTAACAGTTGATTCCTCGTGTGAGGTGTCTTGTATTGGCTTGTTTTTGGCTTTTGGGCGTGCCCTCTGTTGTTTTCCCAACTTGTTTAAAAAAAATTCACACTTGGATCTGTTGTTGTATGAAAGTAGAGGACTTTATTATAGTATAAAGCGGTCCTTAGAGAGAACTCTGATCCGGTAAAGAAATCATAGTGCAGTTAATTCCCTACCAGCAGCTGGGTAGAAATGATCCGTGATGTAGTGCGGTTCAGTGGAGACATGAGATTATTTGTACTCCAGTGGTTTTCAGTGCATGGTTGGGAGTGCAAAATACACAGCAACGATGAGACGGGACTGTAGTTGGAAACTGACACAACAGGAGAGACTATCCCAAGAGAAGAAACATTGGGCAGCTATCCATTACCCTCGCCTATCAACCGTACATGCGTCTATATAACGGTCCTACCTATCTTCCTGGGTCGGGAACCGACCACACAAGCACGGTTAGATACGAGCTCAAATCTGTGTGCGCATCCACGTACATACGCCATGGCGCTCCCTGGGCTTGCTTTGCCTAATTCTCAGATCGTCCTGTCGGCAGCATGCACGGGTCCGCATGTAACAGTCGGACGACCTTCAAGGGCACGCTTCGTGTATTCCTTGACGTCGGTGAACCGTAAGCTCATCGTAAGCTCGTCCTCTATCAATAATCCCTACACGACAGCTGGCGGCATGGTATGTACGGTATAGTCTGGTTCAAACTTCGTACACATTTTCTTTTCATTGAGAATTTATGGATGTTGCATCGATTTGTTTTTAATTTTTTTTGCGGTAATCATCGATTATTTATTTGAGCTAGCGTAGCAACAAGTGGCGGCAGGGGAAGACGAGCATGAGCTAAAGCTCCTAGGGACATGGAGGGGCCCTTTCGCGATGCGAGTGAGGCTGGCGCTCAACTTCAAGGGCCTGAGCTACGAGTACCAGGAAGAGGACCTTGCAAATAAGAGTGACCTTCTCCTCGTGTCAAACCCGGTGAACAAGAAGGTGCCCGTGCTCATCCACAATGGTATGCCCATATGCGAGTCACTCGCTATCTTGGAGTACATCGATGAGGTCTACCATGGGATAGGACCCTCTCTCCTCCCCGCCCACCCCTACCAACGCGCTAGGGCTCGATTCTGGGCCACCTACATTGACAACAAGGTTCATCATTAGTTATCATTACCGGTGCACGTGCGAGTTTTATTAGTTTGTCGATACACTATACGTAATATATATTGTTTGTGCATATGTTTGTATGTATGCATATGTATTTTCAGCTAGTCGCGCCATGGTGGAAGATGTTTGTGGGCAAGACAGACAAGGAGAAAGATGAAGGGACAAAGCAAACGCTAGCGGCGGTGGATATGCTAGAGAGGGCCTTGAGGGAATGCTCCAAGGGGAAGCCGTTCTTTGGAGGAGACAACGTCGGATATGTTGATGTTGTGTTGGGTGGTATGGTTGCAAGGATGCAAGGAACCGAGGCGCTTTGTGGTGTGGAGCTTCTACACGCCACCAAGACTCCGCTTCTGCTGGCATGGATGGAGCGCTTTGGCGAAATGGAACCCGCCAAGGTGGTTCTGCCAAAAGTCGATAGGCTGGTTGAGTTTGCAAAGATGAAACGTGCCCAAAGGGCTCTAATCTAAGATGTCTCAACAGTCCGAGAATAGCTAAGGATCTTGATAGGAGTGCAATGCAAAGAAGGAGTCGCGACACCGAATACTATTGTTCTTTCTCTCACAGGTCTGTTGTGACAACGTAGAGTGTTATTGTTCAGACAACCTAGTACTTTGAAGTTCAATCATCTTCATGTTATTCCTCCCTAATATAAATAGCTCAATGTTGATAAGTTATTATTTTGATGGAGTGAAAGGATTGTTGAGACATATTTTCTATTCCTCCCTTCAGCTCAGAATTTTGGAGTAACTGGATAAAGCATGAACTTAATACAATCAGATCAAAGAGGTTTTGCATTTAAAACCCTGCCAACGCAACACTAAAAATATATTTTACAGTCTACATTGATCCTAGCCTAGACATATACAGAAGGAAGACAAGTAAGGATCGATGGTAGATTATTGTATTATTAGCCATGTGTGACTACATGATGCAGAAGCACAACACCTTTGGACGGTTGGAAACATGCCATGGAGACAATGATAAAGTGTTTATATAGTACCATTATGTTCATGCAATATGATGCATGTAGACTGCAAAACACTTGGTGGAAGAGGTCAAAACGGATATCGCTTATCGTTAGCGTCTTGGTCGGCTGAGAATTAGAGATTAATCGGAAATCCGATGATTAATCGATCTTATCGGTTGACTATTAATCAGTCTTTTTTTTGGTAAATCCCACGTTCCAAGCACTAAAACATGCTATATTCAACACAAAAACAATACTGAATAGAAGTGTTACATTGATTGCTTGCCTTTGAATTCTTGTACAACTACAAAGAAAATAGGACAACGGTACATATTACGTTACAAGGTCCACGAAATACAAATAAACATAGTTCTTGCACACATAATGGTAGAAATAGGCCCAAATTATCAGTATATTCCTGATAAATCGTTTGCAAGAGCGATAAATCACCACAACCAATAAACGACGATGATATGACATAATCTTATCGTTCACCCACCGAATAGTGACAAATCGGATGATACATCGTTGAATCGGTTGGTTTTTGAACAGTACTCTAAGCATAGATGTAAGAACACAATCAAAACATGGTTTACATCCACACGATTGTCCCTCTGAAAGCGTTTGCGATAAGATGTCACAGTGTAAATGGATGTTTGGCTATTTCGTTTGTGTTATGGCGCACGGATGATATGCCCCCTCATTGATAGTGATAGGACCCCCTCATTGGTCATTGCTCACATCAATAACAGTTGCGTGTGAATCGCACGCGTGGTCAGAAGAACTCCTTGCATGCACAAGGAAATCTAGCCAATGTCTCGCTAATGGTTGGGATAGTGTGGACGGCAAAATTCAGCCTCGCCTCCCCTGATTTTCGCTAGCAAAGCATGCCTGAAGCCTGCACTGATCCGACATGATGTGGCACTTCGCATATGGTGCTTGAATATGGTTTTAAATTTAAGTTCTAGAAATATTCTAGACTTGCAGAAATCACTACATTTCTGTGAAATTCATATTTTGGTTTTGATTTCGGCGAAAGGAGCGAATTTTCCACATGAATTTGATGGAGATTGAACCAAAAATTCTAAAAAATCCAAAACTAATTTAAAAATCATTTGAATTTATGTGTACTACCAAAATTACTGGAGTATTTTGACCGAGAGGAGACTATTTTAATATGTACAGAAATTAATGAAATTTCACTGAAAGTGAGAACCAGTGATGCACTCATCATATGACCGGCGGTCATGAGCGTTTCGTGATTTTGATCCTCATACTATGACCAATCATGGCATGATGTGGCACCGGCGGCACATAAGATGTTGTAAAATTAGTAAGAATCCGATTTATTCCCCACAAAAAAAAAAGCATCCGATTTACATTTGTAATCTAAAATATTCAGCACTTCCATTGAAAATATGAAATAAGCACTGGCGAGAAGAGCATTACATCCGATCCATATGTTAATCACCCGTGGCTGGTCGCCGTACACGTACACATGAATTGCCTGACCACTCGGACCAGCTCGTCTGAGGCATCACCGAAGGGGGCGAACACGAAGAAGCCATGGCCCTGGCCCTCGAACTCGGCGAGCTCGACGGGCTTCCCCATGGCCCGGAGCCTCGCCACGTACTCAGCCACCCGGTCGCGCATCCGGTCACGGCCGGCCTTGGCAACCAGCACCGGAGGGAACCGCACGTCATCGAGCGGGGCGCTCTCCGGCCCGAACGGGTTCGCCGCCGGGTGGTCCCTGGTCGCTCCGTCCGGCAAAGCCAGCCGCCACATCTGGTCGAAGTTCTTCCCAGGGTCGAACTCGGACGACGGCGCCATGGCCTCGGCCTCGGCCTCGGCCGCCGTCCTCTCCTCGCCACCGAAGTAGGGCCAGAGTATCACGCACCCGACGACCCGCACCCGGTCACCGAGCGCGAGGGCGCCCGAGCCGAGGCGGGCGGCGACGTGGTGCACCATGTTGCCGCCTGCGGAGTCGCCGCAGACGAACACCCGGCCGAAGTCGGCGCACTCGGCGAGCCAGGCGTCGGTGCCGGCGGCCGCCTGGTCGCGGAGCCACGAGAGGACGGTCTCGGCGTCCCGGTGCGCGGCGGGGAGGCGGTGCTCCGGGGCGAGCCGGTAGTCGGCGGAGAGCACGAGCGCCGGGAGCTCGCCGGCCAGCCGGAGCGCGCCCGCGTGGAAGTTGGGCCACTCGAAGCTGCCGATGCAGAAGCCTCCGCCGTGGAAGTAGACGAGCACCGGGAGCTTCGGGTGCTTCTTCTCTGCGCGGCCGGCGGTGGTTGGCCTGTACATCCGGAGGCGGAGGCCGTTGCCGGCGTCGTACACCACGTCTTTCCACTGGACGGGCAGGTCGGAGGGGACGTGTCTCAGCATCGGCAGGTGGGAGTAGTCCAGGCTGCGCCTCACGGTGCCGTCGCTCAGGAGCTGCACGATGCCCATGCAGTCCTCCACCACATCCGGCGGCGGCGGCGGCGCCGAACCCGAGACAGCGGACGCGGGCGAGGACGGTATAGTCGACATTGTGGTACGAATGGATTGGATTCGCTTGGCACAAGTAACTCTGCATGTGCTCTGTTTAGTCACCCCACAAACACAATTTTTTTTTGTGATGGTACACTAAACTTGGCTCATCAGTGCACGTCTGGTTCAAATCTTCCGACAAGGAAGCAAGACACGCATCCATGCGCCAAAGTAATTTTTAGCGGCATCTGTACCTACCCTGTCAAGTATCCACCCTATAATAACGTTTTTTTCAGGTTGCTTACCACATGGACGATTTGTGCATCTGGTGCACCATTCCCTGTGTATACAGTATACATGTGTATTCACTAGCAAAAGAATCTGTGCGCTGCAACAAAGAAAAGAATACCACACGCTTGACGCTTCCATCCTAATAATCATGACTCGAGACCCCAATAAGTTCATGCCCTTTATTTGAACATGGCATCCCACCTATGTTGCCTCAACATTGCATCCACTGGATTCGGGTGCAGGTAAAGGTTGCCTAAACTCTCTTTACGCGGACGATGCGGCTGTGTTTGTTGCGCCCATCAAAAGAGATGTGGACAACCTGGCGGCCCTTCTGAGGGGATTCGGGGACGTCATCGGTCTGTGCACTAACTTCCATAAGAGCTCAATGGTGCCCATTAGATGTGGCAACCTCGACTTGGACCGCATAACCCATGGGCTGCCGGCTGTTAGGGCTGCCTTTCCGCTCCGTTATTTGGGGCTACCGCTGTCGATTTGGAGGCTGAAGCTTGCTGATCTTCAATTCTTAGTGGATAAAGTGGCGAGTAGATTGACAACATATGAGGGCCAAAACATCACCACCATTGAACGCGCGACGCTCGTCAAGTCGGTTCTCGCTTCCCAAGTCATCTACTTCATCACGCTGCTTGTCATACAAACCACCATCCTGCAAAACATTGACAAACTCGAGCGGGCATTCCTTTGGTCGGGATCGGATAAGACAACTGGGGCAAAGTGCAAGGTCAATTGGGACACTGTCAGTAGGCCGCTTGACTATGGTGGGCTTGGGGTCCTAAACACCTTCAAGTTCGCGCGGGCCTTGCGTCTGCGGTGGCCTTGGTATGAGTGGAAGGAGCCCACAAAGCTGTGGGTTGGAGGTGGGAACCCGTGTGATGAGGATGACCTGAATTTTTTCTACGCATGTACCACCATCACGGTCGGCAATGGTGCGCGGACACCTTTTTGGGACTCTCCTTGGCTTCTGGATCGCAAGCCCAGAGACATCGCTCCGCTCATTTATGAGGCTTCCTCACGGAAGCGCTGAAAGGTGCGGGAGGCCCTCAAGGAGAGCGCGTGGATTCTCAAAATCAGGCCACCTACACCAGCCTCCATTGAGCATGTTTCACAATTCTTCACCCTATGGACGCTGCTCCAAGAGGTCCACCTTGATGAGCTTGCCGACGATGACATCCTTTGGAAGCACTCGGCTTCCGGGAACTACTCCGTCGCCTCCGCGTACAGGGCGCAGTTTTTGGGCTTGGTCCTCTTCCCCATGGACCAAATGGTTTGGAAGGTTTGGGCCCCTCCGAAAGTCAAGTTCTTTGCTTGGCTCACGCTTCAAGATAGGATCTGGACTGCAGACAGATTGCAGAGGCGAGGCTGGCCAAACTGTGGCCCTTGTCCCTTGTGCAGAGGGGTGCAGGAATGCGGTCCCCATCTATTCTTCAGATGCCGCTTCACCCTCAGGCTCTGGAACATGGTGATTCAGAAGCTCCGCATCCACGACGTGGACACGTCCACATGGCACTTGTACGACTCCATCAAGGAATGGTGGGCGAGTTTGAGCACCGAGGGCACCGCCAACCGAAAAGCGAAGGCTTCGATAACCATGTTGGTTTCATGGGTGATCTGGAATGAGCGTAATGCAAGGGTGTTTAGACACAAGAGTGCCCCTCCGCATGTCTTGCTAAACAATGTGATCGAAGAGTCCAACCTTTGGGTTAAACCCGGGGCGAAAAATCT